AAATCTTTAAACAATAGAATACAAAAAGAACAAAAAATAAGTATAAAAGCATTTTATCAGAAGATCAAAAGTAAGGAAAATATTCATAGATCTGATATAAAAACTTATGAAATATTCAATACAAAAAATGATACAACGTATTTGTTGTCTTAGTTACACATTCAAAGATAGCTTTGATAGTGTAATTGCCTCAAGATATATAAAAGCTGTGGGTTTGGTCAGTAAAATCTTTTCATGAACTATGCTTGAGATCAAGGTGCATTTCAAATAGCAACTGTAAAAATTAGTACAAGATTTAGTTAGAGAAGTACCAGTTCAGATACTTCCTTTGATAAGATGGCAATGACAGATAACTTTATGTTCTTAAAATCATCTTCAATTAAATCTGCATGATGAAGGACAGCTCACTAAAGTATAGACTCTTCATCTAGAGGTGCACCAAATAGAATGCAGCCTCCACAGCAAAATATGAAGGCTATTAATTGGTAAATATTATAAGTTTTTTATAGAAGTTCTAATTTTTTTAAATTATCTTTTTATCTTATTATCCTCAAAAGTTTTTTAACCTCTACCTCAAATATTTTTTTCTTTTTATCTTAGTTTTCCAAGTTTGTTCAACAAAGTCCCACTGCTTAAGATTTTAACCCTTATCCGGTTAGCAAAAACAGCAGATATATATTATAGATTTAGGAGGATAGGAGGATATTAATTTAAAGACCAAAACTTTCTGTGAAAGAAATTGGATATAGTAAAAAGATGTGCAATCTATGTTCAGCTATTCTGTCATAAGGCTGAAAAGAGTTGTTATATAAACCAAAGATAAAATAGTATGCAGATAAAGCTGTTTCTGCTTTGGGATCTTCAACTAAATATATAAATATAATAAGTTCACCATTTTTGCTCCTTGGAACCTTTGGGAAAGTAATTGGATAAGCGGGAGGCTGGGTGAAGCAGTTTTTAGGAAAGCTCACTTTTTAACAATTAATGATAAATGCAAGTAATTGAGCTCTTCTAGTTATCATTTAAAGAGTCATTCCTTAAGTAGATAATGTTTAAAATTCTGATGCAATAAATGTATATGTTTGCCAAAGCCTAACTAACTTAACTTAACAAATTTGCTTTCAATGTGAAAAACTCAATTGGTATTTGTAAACTAGAATTAGTAAATTCATATTAAACAAATTGGAGCTATTAAATCAGCATAAAGCCATCAACCACTTGACAAAACCATTTAAACTATTAGATTAACCAATAACTTACTTACTAATAAGATTAAAAATTTTGATTAGCCAAATGTTGCCAAATGATTGGAAACGCCATTAAAAATATTAAATCAAAAAAAACATCAACCTTATCAGCCATAACAATACTAATTACCATTAGAATATATAAAATTTTCACTTCTTACATATAATTTTTTATTTTACTATAAAAAAAGATGAATTTATGGTGGAATATTTTATTGCCATCTGATTTTGGTAACTGTGCAAAATTTCATTAATAGAAAATGTGTAAGTCTGGGGGAGCACCCCCAGCCTTGACTTTAAGCGTTACCTTTTTGTGTGAAAAGTGACCCATAGAAGGCGGCCACCCCTCTCATCATCCAGGACAATCTTCCCATGTGGTGTATGAATGGTGGGTGACTACCTAACCTGTGAAGGTTTCTCCTTCCCCTCCCTAATTAACCACAAATGAGCTTATTCAGTAGATTGGGGGTGCGCAGAGGTGGTGGTGGTGAGAGGATGCCAGCCAAAGGGCAATGGTGAGCATGTAGCTCCAGCACTGATGTCAGAGTCCACCAAAGAGGTTACAAATCTTAATCAAATGGAGGTCCAATTCCAGAGATATTTTTAGGCTACGCCAATAAGGAAAAAATAAACGTAAAATAATAGGTCAGGCTCCAGTGAAATCAAATGTGATAAGTCCATTTGATACCCAAAGGACAGGGCCTCTGTAGCCTGGCCAAGGCACTACCAGTCACCTTCCAAACAAGGCGTCACTATGCCAAGCAAAATCGCGGTAGAAGGAATAATTTAGTGGCAAAATTTAAACTAAAGTTGAAAATCAAAGCAGAAGGTCAGTTTGGCGTTGAGTTAGTCATGAGATCTCATTTTCCCAAATTAGATGGTTTTAAAATTACTTTTTTATACATCCTAACTTATTCCCCAAGCCCCTAGGTCTTAGGGAAAATGTCCCTCACTGGTACAGTTGTCAGTCAATTCTTTCCTTTTTTGTTCACCAATAAAAAACCTGTTTCCAACAAAAAATTAATTTTGATAATATCTTAATGTTTGCAACCTCAGCAACTTTGAACCATGATTAAGTTGTGTCACAATTGTGCCCTAGTGGCCATGCTCACCTTGATGTTCCCAACCTATATTAAATAAGGTATTATATGCATGATTTATTGGTGATATCCCCTTTCACCAGCGCTTCCTGAAGTTAAGATGTGCCAATGATGTGAGATCTTATCTCCCCATTGGGTGAGGTTTTGTGACCTTGCCACTCAATCTACCACTAGTGGTCTGCAGCAAATCTTGGCCCTACATTCTGGCTGAAGATTTTCCCATATTTAAATCTTCTGTTCTTTCAGGGGCTATTGTTTGGTGGCTTGTCAGGTTGTTGGTTACAGCAGCCACCAGATATCATTCTCTGTTTGTCCCCCTCCTTCCTTATTACCAAGTCGCTTGAACAGTAATGTCCCTAGAATTATGATTTGTCTTTTAGGTGCTCACACACCCCAACTGTCAGGACAGTCTCAATTTTATCTGCCAGATCCATGACAATATGTCAGGAAGTGTTAAATGAAGAATTTAAAATTCCAAACCAAGCAATATTGTAAGTATATGAAAAGCAAATAAGTAATTAAGGAAGTTGACCTTAGGGACAAATACCAAGATGAGTTTGATAATCATTAGTGGGTTTGAATCTATGTTAAATAAAATGGAATTTAATCTAACTAATAATTGACTTGATTAATCAATCAAGTATTAAACTTATAAATAGATGTCTACAATTCTTAACTTAATATATTTATTTAGTTGATATGAATGAATTGATTAAGTACTAAACTCACTGATGGCCATCCATAGTACTCAATTTAGTCTATTTTACTTAAATAATTGATTTGTTTTATTACATAAGGAACTTGATAATGGTCATCTACAATACCATAGGCTTGGCACACTATGACATCGTTTCATACCCCAGATTTTGAACTTATCCCCAGCTATAAGATATATACATGTCAAAACTTAAAGTAAACATATAAAATAATAAAAAATCTTAAAGTAGGCTTTTAATTAATGATAAAAACACTTAAAGTGAGCATGCTAAAACTTGTAGAATCCCAATGTCAGCCTCAGCCCACACAAAGGCCAACTAAAAATATATAAAATGTATATTATTGGAAAGAGGAGGCTATGGCCATGCACAGGTACCCCAATGTCCAGCCTGAATGAGTGAGACTGTTTTAAAAGCATTGTAAAGCTAGCATGGTGCACTCAGTGAATGATGACAATGGTGCAAGAACCTCTACCACTGCTGTCCTTGAACCAATAGACATAGCAAGTGAAAATTACACTCATATATCTGTCTGTTTTATGTTAAAATAAAATTTTGTATGCAGTCAATGTATTGTTAAGAATTCAATCCAATATGCTAAAAGCAACTTGATGACATGGAAATTACATGCTAAACCAACAGCTGTATGTTCCACATGGTCTGTCACTTTTTGGATACATGTGATTTCTGAATATGTGGCTTTCAATTTTAAATAATAAAACATAACAAAAAATGGCTGTTGCATGAGATTTTTAACTGTTTCTATGTATTTAGGCATTAATGATTCCAAATTATGAATTCAGTTTTCCTGCGCATGCTCTAGTTTCCATGAAATACAGCTGAGACAGAAATATCTTCCCCCACTTCATATTAAGTTTGTCTTAATAAAGCAAGTCATAAAGGCTCTGAATACTGAAAATAAATGTTTTCAACACATCGTTTCTGCTTTTCCTAGTCTGTCATTTGATAAAATTTTAGCATGTGTGTTTGATGGTCCTCACATTTGATCCCTTATATATGACAAGGAAATTGTCAGGAAGATGGATCAAAAGGAGATAAAAGCTTGGATGCCTTTTGTAGCAGTTATTAACAACTTCCTTGATAACAAAAAAGTAGAAAACTATATACTTCTGTTTAAAAGGATGGTAAAAGCGTTTACAATTTTTGGATGCAAAATGAGTATTAAGGTATACTTTCTGAATAGCCATCTTGATCAATTTTCTGAAAATTATGGGTATATCAGCAATGAGCAGGGGGAACACTTTTAATAAGACCTGAAGACAATGGAAGAGCGTTATCATGGGTGATGGGTTATGCATATGATGGCAGACTACTACTGGTGTATTAAATGAGACCATCCTGAGCAAGTCTATAAATACAAGTGATACAAGAGCAAATTTTGCCTAAATGAGTCTTACATGCCCTCTATATTACATTGCTACATTAATTAATTAATATCTCCTATATGTATGTACATATCAATGCTATAGTTAAGAAATCATGATTGTATAAAATGGTTTTTTATGTTATATTTATGCTCAAAATAAGTGATTTTATTCCTTTGCATTTCAGTTCTGTATGTATAACTGTATTACATTGTGCATGTTTTTATATTTAAAGAACTTATATCATCACCACAAAGGTAATTAATATAATATCTCACATTTGAAAGTTGAGAGAAATGATGAAAGATTTAAAAATTTTACATCAAAGGGAATATTATTAAGTGTAAGTTGCAAAAAACTGTGACTTGTTGAAAAAACAAACTTCAGATATGAAATCAACACATCCAAATTAGTTAAAAAGAAGTGTTTTTATCAATGAAACAAAAATTTTGTTTGGGTCTATTATTAAAAGAAAAATTATATATATTATATATTTAAAAAATTCTTAAATTTTTTTGTATTCTTTTAAAGTTAAGCAACTAGGTAGGTCAAATAAAAAAAGATGCTCACTACAGGGGTCGAACCTATACTTTGGCGTTATTAGCACCATACTCTAACCAACTGAGTTTTTTTTAAAAACTCCATACTTTATTAAAATAGACACAAGGGAAAGTAAGAGGGGAGGGTGGAATACAGGCGATTCAGCTGAGGGAAAAAAGACTGGGGATTCAGGCTGCTAGAGTTCTAGCACCTCCGACCATTGCTGATCAGCAATCGCCATTGCTAGCCACAGTTCTAGCAGTGGCGTGCTTACAGGCCATACTATTCTAAGATGATTCATAGCTTCATCATGTGCGATGAGCAATCTGGTGGGGAAAGCCAAACGCATGGCCTTATAACACCCGGGGATTATGCGCGAGAATTTTGAGATCCGGCGGAGCTGATCAGAGATGATCTGAATGGTCTTCAATACCAAACCTCTGTGATGGGGGCGCTCATTGCTCATAGTCTTAGCGACAAGCGCACAGTGAATTACCCATACACAATAATGGTAAATGAAGGCTTGTAGTTGGATTGGAGCCATTCTTAGGGTTTTTGTAAAGAACAGGTCCTGCAACAGATGTATACCTGGAGGTGAATGATTGCCTGATAGGATGTATCTCATTGTGGACCAGTATTTTTTGAACATGATGCATTCATAATAGTGATGTGCTATGTCTGCTTCTGGTTCAGCACATATGGGGCATTCTTTGTGCTGGTAATCTAGCCCGCTGTGCTTGCCCAATTTGAATGCCCAATTAAGAATCCACCAGGTTACTGACTGCTGTTTTGATGTAACCAAGTGGGTGTTCAGGCTTAAGATCAACTCCTTCATCGGGTAGTTGGTGTCATGGCCTTTGGTAGTCCAGTCATTAAGGATTCGTGGGTGGGTGGGCAGATTGCGCCCCATTTTTGGGAGCGGATCTCCATATTCTATCAGCATCAATTTGCACCTAATTCTGATTGACTTGGTTGCATATTCATTGGCAATTTGGTTATGTTCTTTCAGCTTGTTGCAGTAATCATTGCGGTGTTATGTGCTTCAACATCTCTTCGAATTTGGTTGGCCTCTTGGTCCAATTTTTTGAATGACCACCCACCCTGGCGCACAGCCCAATTGCAGAGTCACCAGTAGTGTGGGGCACCTTTTTGTGAGGTAATCTTCAGGTGGTTCACCATCCATTTGCTTAACAATCGTGGGGAGACTGGCTCTTAGAGGCCTTGGGCTCTTTCCCAGTTCATACCCCATGCTAGAGTCAGGAAGTGCATGTTTGTCTGTGTTAGCTTCAGAAATGACTTCCCCCATATATGCTGGGCATGAGAATCAAAGTCCAGTAGGCCCATGCCTCCTTCATTCTTTGGTTTTGACAGGGCTTCCAGTGGAATTGGTGCCACCTTTGCCTTGAACCACAGAAAAGTTCGGAGCATTGACCTGATTTTTTTCTCTAGGTTTGGGCTCATTGGCAGCACATGCACAACATACTATAGTTTTGAGAAAATGAAGACGTTTATCACCTGCACTTTCTCCTTGAGGCATAGTCTGGCGCCCTTCCAGCATGACATTTGGAATGATAAGCTTGTTAATACTTCTTGTTCAGTCTCCAGTACAGCTGGTCCCTTGTCGTTGAAGAGTATCCCAAGGTATTGAACTGTCTGGGAGCTCATAATTGGCATTGTGTCAGTTGGTGGGCTGAAGTTTGGGTTGCCAACCCTCATCACTGAGGTTTTTGCTAGATTTATTTTTGCATTCGATGCAAGCTGGTAAAGGGCTAATAGATCCTTGGCGCCCTGGAGGTCAGACAATGAGCTTATTACTACAAATGTATCATCCACGAATGCTAGCATATTCAGTGGCATTTAATTAGGGTGGACTAAACCCCAAAGCTTCATGTCCGCTGCCGCCAGTAGAATGTTAGCTACAAAGTTGAAGAGTATTGGTGACATGGGGTCTCCTTGATGGAGACCTTGCCCGACAGAGATTTTGTTGGTTGTGCATCTGCAACCATAACCTTTGTTACCAGGCCTGAGTATAGCATCATTATCCATGTCCAAAACGTGTTGGGGATACCAACTGCCTTCAGTACCTCATGTAGGAATGACCACGCTACTCAGTCATACACCTTTTCCATGTTGAGGAACATAAGGTATCCATGTTCAATGCCCTTCATATCCTAGAGTATGCTCTGGACTGAACATATACTGTCCCATATACTACGGCCTTTAATGAAACCATGTTGGGCCCTATGTAGCATGCATGGTGCTGTTGCCATCAGCCGATTAGATAGTATGCACGTGAGCAGTTTATAATTGGCGTTCAATAGCATAATTGGGTGCCAGTTCCAAAGTTGACATTTGAGGCCTTTTTTGTACAGGAGTACAATTTGGGTCTCATATCCTCCCGGAACTTGTTTGCCATGGGTCAAACAGTGGTTAAAGAGGGTTTTGAGCTCTGGCACTATGCAGTCTCAGAATATGCTGTATATTTCTGCACACATATTGTCAGGGCCTGGTGCTTTCATCCTTGCCGACTCCTTTAGTGCTCTCTTAACTTCATTGATAGAGATTTTGGTGGATAGCTTGGTGACGTCTTCCAGCGTACAGCCTCCCAGTGCCAGCTTGGCCAGGTCAATAAGGGTTTTTGTTGCCAATTCGCTCATTTCTTGCTGTCAGAAGAGATTGCCATAAATAAGCTCAACTTCACGCTTGATTGTTTCAGGGTCTGTTGATACTGCCCCATCCGCTGTCTCCACTTACTGTATCCTAGCCTTAGTTTGGACTTACTTGAGGTGTTTAAGGCCCTCTTTGGTCATTGTCCCCATTAATCTCTGATACTGGTAAGTTGCATTAATTTGTCTCTCTGAGTCTTGTTTCATTATTATAGCCCAATATTTTTTGTGCGTTGTTTGGTACTCACACCACCAGTCCTCGTTGTCCCACTGGATGAGCCTCAGGCTTTCTAATTTAGACTTCAGTTGTTTTACAGCAGCTATTCGCTTGTAGGAGGTCGCTTTTTCAAACTTCATACTATCATGTTTCATCTTCATTTTGATCTGGGTCCATCTTTCTAGCGGGTCTAGCTCCAAGAGGTTGTCCAGATGTGCTATCAGCTGATACAGTCCCACATCTATCATTCAGCGCCAATCCCCATTCCTCAACGTGGCTGATACCAATTGCCACTTGTGCTTCCTTGGGGGTTTGTTAAGGTTGATCTCCACCTGGATGATCATGTGGTCACTTTCAGCATTTATGCTAACCTTGCTGTTGGATGTCATCGGCCTAAGGTCTGATGATATGAGGATGTAGTATAACCATGATCCTGACAGTGGGGATCCAGTGGCATTGTATGTCCACCGCGTTAGATTGGCCAGGTCATCATCCTCTTTGTCAATCGTTAGGCACATCCCCAATTTAACTAGGTAATTGAGCATCTCATCAGCTTTACTGTTGGGGCATTCTCTCATTGGGTATGTATCCTGACTTGCATTCGTCCAGCAGTTCAGATCACCTGCTATTACAGTCGTCACTTCAGATGGCACTTCTGCTAAGAAATCCCAAAAAATACAGTTTTTGCGGAGCTTTGGTGGGGCATATACTGCTACCGCCCATATGCTCCTACCAGTTTCTCTGTTTGTAGCCATCGCTATTAAGATCCTACCAGCATGAGTTTCTTCTACAAATTTCAGGTCTATTTTCTTGTCCATTGCAACTATTGCCACGTGGTCCATCCATAGGGCTTGGTAGCCTATCTGGTGGGACCACGGATGGTTTTTTGCATCACAGTTCAAGCTTGGCACCATTTCTTTTTGGTTACCAGCTTGTGTTTCTGAAATAAAAATTAGGTCAATATTATTATTAGTTTTTAGATGGTGCATTTTCCTCCTCCTTGTTTGTGTGATCACCATACCCCGAGCATTTGTAGTTGCTATCCTCATTTCTGGCTGCCCGACCCACAGGTATGAGGTTTATCGTTGTCTGGGTTGTGAATTGAGTCACGTACAGAGGTCAGGTTGGTTGTTGGTGGTGGTATCGATGGTTGGTGGGGTATGATATTCAGTTTTTGGGGTCAGTTGGTTGGGACTGGGATTATGTTCCTGGGCATCTTGTGCACTGGGAATTTGGTCACCATCCCCATCTCCTTGTCAATGGTTAATGGGGATGGTTTTATGATTGGGTCTGTGTGCCCCCTGTTTTCTTTGGGTGGACCAGCGGATTTATCTTCATCCATCAGCTGGATTCCCCCCTTCATTCAATTTAATGGCAGAACTTGATTTTTTAGTCGACACTTGCCCAGCTGATTTTGTCAATCTCAATTTTTCTGCGAATTTTTCTCCAGTCACCTCAGACTCATACGCCAATGACTTCCTATTCATTTTTTTATTCCCTTTCATCTTGTCGGGCTTTGATTTCAACTTGTTGGAATCCTGTGGCTGCCCATGCTTGGAAGACTTCTTTGGGTTCGCCTTCTGCCATCTCTCCTCCTTCTGGACCATCCATTCCGCTTGGGTTGGACGTTTCTCTGCTGGTCCTGGGCTGGTTCCCTCATCCATTGCATAAGATTTGGGGTTTGGATTTATAAATGGTTTGTCATCTGCTTTGGGTCATTTTGCCATTTCCCATTCCCACGCCTCTCTGTGTGCCAGGTCTTATTCTTGTTGTTGGCATTTTATATCCGCTACCTCTGTTAAGTTTTGTGGGATCCATTCTCTGGCTTTCAGGCGGAGGAAGGTCTTGGTGCCCACCTTGGTAATTCCCCCAACGGGGTTGTATTTGTACTCCTGAGTAGTTTTACCTTTATGATGGTGGCATTGAACCATAGTGTGGCTGGTCTGATAGCAGAACTGGCACACTTGTTTGACATCCTCCTGTTCGACATATACTACCCTATCAAGGATGGGCAGGCGGATGAATCTGGGTAGAGCAATCTTATTTGGTTTCATCCAGGGGGCTGGTTCATACAGCGCTTCCACTGTCTGAGGGTGGAGGCACTTCACAATGTAATCTCCACCAGCTTGGCGGAATTTGTGTACTTCCCCATAGTAAGACAACCCAGTCCAGATTGCTTTGTGTACCCATTCCCATTCGCGGTCAGTGGAGA